ACCCCCCCCACACACACACCACCCCTGACAAACACACCACGGAATATCATGCAACTGCTTAAAAGGGTGAATTAGGTTTTCTTCTGCCAACTTGAAGAAAGAGCAAGATGCAGGAAAATGTGTATCATATGATCCTGTGTTTGTAAAACGCTGACATATATAGGAAGGCTATTGTCCACATACGTGTTTATAAGCCTCTGTTCGCATATATCCCTATATGGTTGTATTCACATGGGAAAATCAATAGTAGCTTGTTAATATGTGTCTCTTATGGGAAGAGGAAGGGGGAGGTGAGCAAACATAGAAGAAAAATAAACAAAAAGGAGAATATAAAAACAAAGCCCCCTGGGCCGACCCCGTGGCTCACTCGGGAGAGTGCGGCGCTGGGAGCATAGCGGCGTTACCGCCGTGGGTTCAGATCCTATATAGGGATGGCCGGTGTGCTCATTGGCTGAGCACGGTGCGGGCGACACCAAGGCAGGGGTTGCGATCCCCACACCGGTCACAAAAAAGGATAAAAAAAAAAAAAAAAAAGCCCCATCACATATACTATGCTGCCACTTATATATTTTTTAAAATCTACATAAGTATATACACAAATAAATTTTAAAACAGTAAAACATACAAAAAACAGAGGCACTCAGACAAATTACCAGTATCTGTCTCATTTTCTAAAATTGTAAGCAAATTGGCCAAGAAACTATGAATTTCTATGCTGAGACTGGATGGCCCCTTGTGTTTTCAAATTTTTCTATAATGAATTGCTATTGCTTTTAATATAAGTAAAGATAATATAATACACACAAAATAAATCTGGGAAGATTTCTTAATGCTCTCCCACCAGATGCCTCAATGGCTCCCAGTTTCTTGTAAGATCTAATTTTGTGTTCCCAAGGTCCGTCCACCTCTCTCTTCTTGTCTCAGTTGTTTCCACCCCCCTTGCTGCTTTACCTCCTCGAACTTCACTAATGACTCCCAACCTCTCTCTTGTCCAGGTGTTAGACAAATATTTATTGGATGAAGAAATGATGCGCCCCGTCACTATCATCACAGTTTCATTTCTTTCATCCCCTATGCAAGCCCCATATTCCAGCCCTACTCGGTTATTGACAGTTGCTGTACCTGGGCACAAGCAGCCAACTTGGCCTGAGAACCCTGTCTTCCTCATGGACACCAGACTCTTTTTCCAGATTTGCCTGAAATCCATTTTAGCCTCCCATAATTCCCTCCACATCTGATTAGTTACTTCTAGTCCTGCTTTGGACAGATCACCCTTGCTTGTGGGAAACTCCTGTTCCACTAAATGACAGGCCTGGCTGGGTGCTGGGAACACAGGCACTTTTCTAGGCATGGGGCTAAAACAATAAATGAAGCAGACACAGGTCCTTGCCCTCCTAGAGCTTACCTTCCAGTGGGAGGAAACAGGTGAGAAGGAGGTGAGGGAGCAAGCCAGGTGGAAGGAAAAGGGTTCCAGGTGGAGGGGACAGGAGCTGTGAAGGCCCTAGTGCAAGGAACAGGTAACTTGCTGTCAGGAGACATAGGGAGGCCTGGAGACTCAGGGAGACCTTTATAGAGAAGGTGACACTTGAGTTGAGCCACTGAGGAGGGGGAGGTTTTGACAGAGAATAGCCACACTAGGCATAAGGATCACAACAGTAGCAAAATCTCAGCGGTGTGAAGGGCCTGGGGTGTTCGGGAAATGACTGGTCTGCAGAGTGTGTGGGTCTGGATTCAGGGTGTGTGAGGGTCAGCTTAGGGAGAAATGATGCAGAAAGGAATCGGAGCGGTCAGGACGAACTGAGAGAACAAAGCCAGCACCCGCCTCCCCTGTCAACTTTGGCTGATGTTCTTTCTTTTTGTTTTTTCTTTTATTATTATTTTTTTTTATTGTTGGCTGATTTTCAAATCACCTTCCGACCAGTCGATTGCCAGGAAGTTGCAATCCCTGAGGGCTGCTCCTTGTTGCTCCAGAGGTGAGGTTGGTACTCCATCCCTGACACCAGCCCCCAAGGACTTCCCTGGGCCATGAGCTGTCACTGTTCTGAGGGCCTGACAGGAGGAGGTTGACTGCACTGTCACACCCACCAAACGGATAAAAAAACTGACAATACCAAGTGTCGATGAGAATATAGAACTGCTAGAACCCTCATACTTTGCTGGGTGGGGGTGTAAGTTGGTACAAACACTTTGGAAGACACTTTTTAGTATCTTTCAATGTCGAGTACATGCTTGTCTGTGACCCAGCAATCCCGCTGGTAGGTAAACTCCAAACAGAAATGTATACAAATGCTCACCAAAACTCATGGCCTAGAGTGTTCACAGCAGCACTCCTTGTAATAGGTATAAAGTTGGCACTACCTAAATGCTTACCCACAGTGGAATAAAGCAATCAGTTGTGGTGTACGCATGTAGCATGACACTGGACAGCAGAGACAATGAGTACAGGGCATGTGTGGGCACTGATGTGGACGCTCTCAGGCATGCAGTGCAGAGTGAAAGGAGCCAGGAGCAAACCAGACAAAACTACCTCTAGAGGATGGGATAGCGTTACCCTGGATGGGGGCACAATGGGGTCTGTGAGGAGGAAACCTAGTTA